GATATTTCAGGATATCAAAGATTCCTAAAATTCATACAATCTTCATTATAAAAAATCTTCATTAAATCTTCATATAAAAAAATCTTCATTACAGAACTCTGCTGAATAAGAGCAACTTTTTGGAGGCCTGAACCATGAGAATTGAAAGAAAATTCCTGATTTCTTCATCTGATATTATATCCATTATGTATTATTAATTTATTCTTAATTATTTCTTCCTATTTATAAGCACTTTGAAATGTTTCTTGGGATATTATTTCTCCTATAAAACTGTGAAATAACTGTTTCCACTTTGTATTTGGTTGTGAAATATTCTTTGGAGGGGATTTGCCACCCAAACACGACAAATTTATATTTAAATGCACAAAAGGTGGTGCCTGGTGGTGATGATCAGTCCAGGTATCCCTGGCTTTGCTCTGAAAAATCTGATTTTTCTGCATGAGGAACACCCCAAAGTGACAGAAAAGGTTTGATCTCTTCACAAGGAGCTAAACAAAAATGTGAATCACAGTCAAGCTGGACAAGAATTCAAGAATTCCACCAGATCGTCAAAGGAAGGGAAAGAAAAATGAAAATAAGAGCCACAGGCTGAAAAAAAATTGAATTTTTTTTTTTAAATGTGGGTGAAGAACTGCTCAGGCACCTCACCATCACAATATTTAAGGTTTATCCTGCTGGGATTGATTTCTCGTGTTCCATTTCATCTCCTGGACTCTGAATCCAGGAGAAATTTCCAGAAAAAGGAAATCAGTGGCCAACTCCCAAAGGCTGCTGGAGCTGAGCCTCACTCCATTGGAAATGAGAGATTTTCAAAGCATTTTATGAATAAATATAATATATATCAAATATATATATATTAAATATATGTATTCTATTCTATTATGTTGTGTTACATTATATTGTATTAAATTGTATTAATTATATTATATTATTTTATATTATATTACATGATATATATCATACACTACTATTAAGATATAATTACACATGAATATATATTATTATGTATTTTTATATTATTATATATTATATAATATTGTCTATATGAATAAGTATTTTATTTTATTTTATTTTATTTTATTTTACTTAAGAAAATAAAGGTCCTTGGTTAATTTTTACTGCACACCTTCAGCTGAAGAACACTGTCAGGAGTAGAAAAAGTTTGCAGGGAAATGAGGCAAAGTTAATCCCAGAATTAATGTTAATTGGAGAAACTGAGGATGGGAATGAAATCTCAGGAGAGCAAAATGCTCAGCCCATGCTGGTGGGGAGGTCAAAATTACTGAAATTACATCTGGAAACTTCTTCTTTGTGAATTTTTAAAAGTTTACAGGAAAAATATCCCAATTTTTATCCATATTTGCAGTCATGTACGAGGTAAACCAAAAAACCCTCAGYTTGTTTTCTCTTTCCATCTCTCCTAAATTACACTTTATGCAAACTGAACTTGCTTTTTAATTTTTTTTTTAAATCAACAGAGCAAGATTAAAAAAATCACCACTTTGATAAAACCTTTTTACCTCATTTTTTTTCTGCCCATCCTACAGATGATTGTTTTCACCAATAAACAAACCCAACCCTATTATTGGGGAGCCCTGATTCCTAAACCTGGGGTGGTTG